GAAAGAAACTGATTTTCTGGATCCGTTTCAAGTGGGGTTTAGGCCATGGGACAAAGAAGCAGCCAAGCAGGCTGGGAAGTGCTGGGACTGCGCCGTCCTTTGGGCCGAGTCCTGTTCTCCAGGCCTGACTGCTAACTGCGGAGTCACTCTGGCATGGGACTTGGCAGCCATTTTCTCTCTGCCTTCTCTGTAAGATTTCAGTCAGAGTCAGTCTGCCTCAGATGTGAGCAGTGTGTAATCTCAGTCAAACTGTTGGGAACCATGTTGTTTAGGAAGAAGTTTGTTTTCACTCAGTAAAGCTCTTATTCTTTAAAACTCTGCCCTATTCATTTACGCGTCAGTTTAGGTCTGACGTCGTTTCCAGACGGTGTTAGTTGGGGAATGTCTTTCAGGCCCGGGAACCTCGAATGTGGGGTTTACAGGGCTCAATCCTATCCACAGGGCACTGGCTCCCGGTGGAGTACAGGATAATAATAATAATAATAATAATAATAATAATAATAATAATAATATATTTCTACCCCGCCCATCTGGGCGGCTTCCAAAAAAATATTAAAATACTGTAATACATCAAACATTAAAAGCTTCCCTAAACAGGGCTGCCTTCAGATGTCTTCTAAAAGTCTGGTAGTTGAATAATAATAATAAGTAGGATAAGGTTAAGATGCTGGCTTAATCTTTGAAGCCCTATAGGGCCTAGGTCCCTCGTATCTATGGGGCCGCCTCTGCTGGTATGTCGCATGGAGGACCTTATGGTCTTCAAACAAAAACATCTTGGAGGTCCCGGGCCACAGGGAGGTTAGGCTGGCCTCAACCAGAGCCAGGGCTTTTTCGGCTGTGGCCCCGATCTGGTGGAACGCTCTGTCCCAAGAGACTAGGGCCCTGCGGGACTTGACATCTTTCCGCAGGGCCTGCAAGACGGAGCTGTTCAGCCAGGGCACAGTCGGACCCCCTCCTTTGGTAATCCCCGCAGAACTGTAGCCCAATGGTTGCCATTAATTTGATTTTGAATTGATTTTAGAATGAATTGATTTTAGAATTCTGTGTTGCTTTTATTGTTAGCCGCTCTTAGCCCGGCTTCGGCTGGGGAGGGCGGGATATAAATAAAATCTTCTTCTTCTTCTTCTTCTTCTTCTTCTTCTTCTTCTTCTTCTTCTTCTTCTTCTTCTTCTTCCCCCCCACATTATTTAACATCTACATGAAACCACTGGGTGGGGTTATCCGGAGGTTTGGAGTATGTTATCAGAATTATGCTGACAACACTCCGCTCTATTTCTCCTTCACATCTGCAGGGGAGGCAGTGAAAGTGCTGGACTTCCTTGGTCTTGTCTTGGTAATGGATTTCAAGTGGGGTTTAGGCCTGGTTTTGGCACAGAAACTGCTTTGGTCGTCCAGTATGGTGACCTCTGTTGAGAGAGAGAAACATGTCCCTGATAATTCTTCTCGACTTCTCACCGGCTTTCGGTACCATTGAGCATGGTATCCTTCTGGAGTGACTCTCCGAGCGAGGGGTGGGTGGCAGCGCTTTGCGGTGGTTCCAGTCCTACTTGGATGGTCATTTCCAGACAGTGTTACTTGGGGAATGTTTTTCACTCCGGGAACCTTGAATGTGGGGTTCCACAGGGCTCGATCCTATCCCCACATTGTTTAACATCTACATAAAACCGCTTTTCAGTCAAGGCTTGGCTAAGGTCAGCTGCTACTCTTTGGAACAGGGAGCAGAGCTTAAGCGATACAGAAATTAAACCAACAGACTACGGGAGATAACTTAAATTAATTTCTCAGTTTATTGATATACAAAATTTAGGAGAACGAAATGAGATGAAGTGCACTTGTAAATGACACAGCATACAAAAGATTTCCACCCATCTTACTGTTCATGTCAACAGGACTACACAAAACCTGGGCTAAGAAGGAACATAATCTCTTTCAGACGTGGAGAAGGAAGAACATGGATGAGCAGGTGTGTTTCCTTTATGTACTTCTGGACATAGGGAACATGGAATATTTTAAGAATCATGTGTCCCTTTAATTTCTGGTTGTCAGGTGCTCCTTTGTGTTCAGATCAGGCCTCAGCACAATAACGTAACACTTGGGAAGGAAGATGCAGCCCAGAAGCCCAGCACTGGAGGCCAACATAGAGAAGATCTGCACGGCCACCATGTACTTGCCCTTGGTGCTCAGGTAGGTGGGCACAAAAGACACCCAAACACTGCAGAAGACCAGCATGCTGAAGGTGATCAGCTTGGCTTCGTTGAAGGAGCCAGGCAGCTTCCTGGCTAGGAAAGCCACCGTGAAGCAGGTGGCAGCCAAGAAGCCCAGGTAGCCGAGGGCAACGTAGAACATGGCCACAGACCCTTCGTTGCATTGCAGGATGATCTCTTCCACCTGGGAGCGCATGTCGGACTCTGGGAATGGGGGAGAAGAGCCCAGCCAGATGGTGCAGATGAGAACTTGCCCCCCAGAACAGGAGATGACAATGGAGTTGGCCAGACTCTTGCCCAGCCATCTCCTCACCCTGTTCCCGGGCTTTGTGGCCAGGAAGGCCAGCACCACCGTGATGGTCTTTGCCAAGACAGAAGAAACAGCAACTGAGAAGATGATGCTGAAGGCCGTTTGTCGGAGAAGGCAGGTCTCTTTCCTTGGGCGCCCGATGAAGAGGAAGGAGGACAGAAAGGAAAGCAGGAGGGAGACGAGCAGGATGTAGGAGAGGTCCCGGTTGTTGGCTTTGACTATGGGAGTTTCCTTGTATTTAATGAAGATTACCATCACAATGCTTGCTGTTAAGGACAAGAAGAGGGCAACGGAAGCTAACACCACTCCCAAATATTCTTCATAAGCCAGGAAGATGATAATCTTGGGGACACATTGATCTCTGTCCTTGTTTGAATGGTGGTCTTCTGAGCATTTGGTGCAATGTTCTGCATCTGGGGAAGAGAAAAATAATGGCTGTAGCATCACTTACATCCCTAATGATCTGTGCTCTATTAACATGGTGATCTAGGATCAACTGAGAGGCAGTGACCACTCCACTTCTGTTAACTGCATTGTTTGGATCCTGACTATTCCTCTTTGTCTGAACCTTTAAAATGCAGACATTGCTTCCATGCAATGTTCATAGCAGTGAGATCAAAACGGTCCATAGATTATATTGTAATAATTTTCACATGAAGTATTTATTTTTATTGTTCTTTTGCTGCTAGTAATTTGCTGCTTTTCATCGTCTATGCATTATTTTTGATAAGTGTCAACATTATTTCCTTTTTGTGTGGCTTGGTTTAAAAAATAAAAAATGCTTTGCGAGCATTCCTCTCACAGGTGCCCAGTTTGCACCCCAGATATTTCTTCCTTATGGTCATTCCTATCAACTCACTTCCTGGATGTAATAAAGGTGATTAATACTAAGGAAGTCAAGGAAGGATCCCCATTCCCCTATGTCTGCAGAATTCTCACAAAAAGTGTGTGAGACTGAATTTCTGCCCTGTGTTTACTCTCTCCAGAAATACCTTCCCCCTTGGAGTCACCCACCTTCCTGGGCGGAGAAGGTCCCTTCCGCACACCGAGCACAAGCATAGCAGCAAACGGGCTTTCCTTCGAGAACCACCTTGGCATATCCAGGTCGACATCTTTCTGTACACCTGGAACGGGGTACAGTCTAACCAGAAAGACAAGAAGGTGCAACAAAGAGGAACAGTTAGGAGTATTTGTGTGTATGTAATTCACTCAACGCGATCTCTATAGCATGGTGGTGATCCCTGACAACTGGTCTTGCCAGCTCAGGATGATGGGAGCTGTAGTCCAAAGACAGCTGGGGACCCAAGTTTGGGAAACCCTGATCTACCCAAAGATTTGCGGTTGTGGCCCCCAATGAATCATTCAGGAAATCATCACAGCTCTACATCACATCATATAGAAGGTTGGGGAGGGGTCTGTCTGGCAGGGAATCCTGAGAGATCCCAGTTGCCGTTTCCAGCAGCCAAGATCCCCAGTTGCCTGCCATCTCCCCATTCCCTTAATGCGGTCAGTTCTCTTTAGCTGCAGAACATGATCTCTGGAATGCAGCCTTGACCCCTCATCAGGGTCCTTTCAACCCCCCGCTGACCATTGGGGTGACCAGAATATCTTGTGCTTTAAATTGAGTTCAGTACAGCTGAGGTTTGAGCCACAGAACTCTGTTTCCTCTTCTCCATTTACCTGTTTCCCTTCTTAAAAGAACTTCAAAGCAAATGACAATGGGTCTGATATGTGATTCCCCCAAATTTCAGGATTCGAATAATCTCTCACACGGTTCATTCTCGTGTTTGTGTTTGTGTGTGTCAGAGAGAGAGAGAGAGAGAGAGAGAGAGAAAGCGCTTTGCTTTCTCTGAAAGCAACTGAAAGGAGAGTTGGGTTTTGGAGGTGTTTTTTTTGCCAAATCGCTTTAATTGATTTTCCAAATTTCACCACATCAACCACAAATTAAGACAAATTTAATACAAGTGAGCTTACTCACAAATTTAAAAAAATATACAATAAATCAGTAATTATCATTTGTAAAATAAATTAGTTTTCATCCTTCTGCATGTATGAAAGGTCAATATCCTTTATTTGAGCATCCCAAATTCCCCTCCTATCTCAGCCAGTGGTGTAGCGTGGGTGCAGAGGGCCCCGGCCGCACCAGGCGCAACAACTGGGGGTTTAGGGTTAGGGGGCGCAAATCCACGGGTTAGGGGGCGCAAATTACTTGCCTTGCCCCGGGTGCTGACAACCCACGCTACGCCACTGATCTCAGCTGCTGTAGAAAGAAGGAGTGGTGGTTCCAGCTGTTACTGGACAGTCAGCCTGACATGGTCATTTTGCAGTGGTTGTTCAAGGAACAGCACAATCAGGATCTCCTGGCCCCCTCCCCCAATTATTCCCCCTACCTTGTTGAATTTCTTGTTCCACTCAATGGCTTCTGGGTTAATGGTGAACTTTATGCCAGCAGACGTCTCTCTCCTTATATTTCCAATTTTCACAAGGTCACGAGACTTATTGGGAGACATCACCCAGTTCATAATATCGAAGTCTCCTGGTAGCTCCCAGTTCTCATCCAAGCACAGCCTGCCCCTGGAAGTATTCAGACACCGGATTTCTCTCAAGAAAGGGTGAAGCTGGAATGGCAGGGGAAAGCACCAGCATTAAGAAACTGGGAAGCTACAACAGGCAATTAATCAAGCCAAAATGGGGAAAACACCAGGGCCAGGTGGGCTATCAGCAAAGTACTATAAGAAATTGCAAGATTATTTGGCACAACCACTAAAAGATTTAAGATACTTACATTACGCTGATTCTGAAAAAAGATCTATTATCAGTCAAAAATTATAGGCTCATTTCTCTATTAAATAATGACTATAAACTGTTTGCAGACCTATTGGCATGAAAGTGCTATTAATGGATTTAATTCATCAGGACCAGGCTGATTTTTTACCAGGCCGCCAGATGAAGGATAATATAAGGAATATAATTGATATAATAGTATATCTGGAGGTTAGAAAGGATAAGCAAGCAGTGTTGATTTTTATAGACGCAGATGAAGAAATAAAAGGGATAACAGTAGGCTAAAGGTAAAGGGACCCCTGACCATTAGGTCCAGTCGCAGCCAACTCTGGGGTTGCGGCGCTCATCTCGCTTTATTGGCCGAGGGAGCCAGCGTCCAGCTTCCGGGTCATGTGGCCAGCAGGACTAAGCCGTTTCTGGCGAACCAGAGCAGCACATGGAAACGCCGTTTACCTTCCCGCCAGAGCGGTACCTATTTATCTACTTGCACTTTGAGGTGCTTTCGAACTGCTAGGTTGGCAGGAGCAGGGACCGAGCAACGGGAGCTCACCCCGTCGCGGGGATTCGAACCGCCGACCTTTGGTTGGCAAGTCCTAGGCTCTCTGGTTTAACCCACAGCGCCACCCGCATCCCAACAGTAGGTTACAAAGCATATAAACTCAAGGCATTTGCAGATGACCATGTGGTAACTGTAGGAGACCCCATGGCTAGCCAACCAAGGGTCTTGAACAGATTCTCAAGTTTGGAGAAGTAGCAGGTTTTAAACTAAATAAAGGTAGAACGAAAGTATTGGTGGAAAATGTGACAGAACTGATGATTGAGAAGAAAGTTTAATATTTAGGAGTATGGATAACAGCTACAAACATAAATATTTTTAAGAATAACTATACAGGAGCTTGGAAAGAAATGAAACAAAACTTAAATAAAAAATATATAACAAATAGAGATATCTGGAGGGTGGCAGCACGACAACAGGACTTTTCTGTGGTGGCTCCTCGCTTGGGGGATGCTCTCCCCAGGGAGGCTCACCGGCACCTTTGTGAGAAATCTTTAGGTGCCAGGCGAGAAAGTTATTCTGTAACCAGGCTTTGGGTGGATTAAACCATCTCTGGGCATTTTAATGTGCTTTTGGATTGCTTGTTTTGTTTCTTTCATTTGCTTTTTCTATTCTCATTTTGTATTTTTATTCTGCAAACCACCCTGTGATCTTCAGATGAAAGTTGATATATAAACAGAATAATACGAATATTATTACTACAGACCCTCCAAAGGTCAAAATGGCACCCAGTTGAGAAGTGCTGGAGCTGAGTTCCAGCGGGTTCCCCCTGAAGAAAGCCCTGGGTATAAATAGTAAAATGATCGTTATGGGATGGGACATCCCTATTTTCATCGGAGACATGTTGGAGGGTAAGCTACTATTACTAATACTAATACTAACTATGATATTTTACAGGTCTATCCCCAGTCAAGATCAGCATCTGTGTGGACTGCAGGTTGCAAAAGGGGGAAGGAAATACCTGCCACGGCTGTAGCCTTTGGGGTCCCCATTGCTCTCCTTCCTCCACCATCAGCCTCCTCTGGGATCTCGATGAAAGCGAAGCATGCAAGGCCTGAGCCACAGCTTGAACATTGATGTAAGTGCCATAGCTGTCTAGAGACAGGATTGTCTCACATACCCTTTGGGACACCATCTCCATTTCCTCCTCCTCTTTGCATCTTCTCCGGCCTTTCACAGACAACAGATGCTTTGAATATGAACACTGATAAGCTTCATCCAAAAAATCTCCAAGAAGATTGGACTGCGATTCATATTTCTCACCTTTGCTGCTCCTTATTCCAGTCTGAATTTCAAAGGACAGAGAACCATGGAGGTGCTGGAAGTAATTTGTAGGGATGTAAAAGCTAAATCTGATTTCTTGCGAAGCTGTTGTGATCCAGACTTTCGCCCCTATTTCCTTCTCATAGATATCGTGTATTACCATGAGTATTATGATAACATGTGCATTGGTTATATAGGAAAGAAATACCCCAACTTGTCTCCATAGGAAAAATGGTTCCCCAGGTGTTACAAATTCATCAAAATAACTTTCTGGTACTCTTTTTGATAAAGCAATGCAGATTCCGCTGCTGAGCATCAGAGGTTTCACAGCGCTCACAAATCTTTCTCCACTGTCATTGTCTGGAGTGAAGAGGCCAATCCACGTCCATCCAAAATGCAGGAGCAATTCAACAATCCCCTGGTACTGACTTTCCTCTTTGGGAGTCATCCGGTAGACAAAAGGGAGCAGGGTTTTACCTTCGAGAACCTGGGCAGTGAAGCCATGACTGATCTAGCAAGGAAAGCAAAAGATCAGCAATTTATTTTACTTTCAGCATAACAGATATTTAATTATATTAAATGACTGATATCTAAATCTCTGCTGGCTGAGGCTGATGGGAGTTTTAGTCGGAAACATCTGGAGGTGACAAGTTGGTGAAGGCTCAGATTTGAAAAAGGGATGTAGGATCCATAGCTCAGGATTTTCCCATTTTAAAAAATATCCCCGCTTGACCCCTCCAAAGAGAAAATAGAATTTTACGGAGTTGAAATTCTATGTCCTTCCATGCTCTCCCACTACTTACCTGAGGGATTTTGTAGATGCCTGACAAGGCTGAAATCACTCTTGAGATCACAGTGTTGCTTCTTTCAAGAACAGCCAGCAGGAGATTCTGTTCTCCACATTGATAATTGGGAATATTGCATCCACTGCCTGCAAGCAGCTCTAGCATGGCGTCTGAAGTCATCTTTGCATCTAAATAGTTCTCATAGATGTTGTAGCCCAGAGTAATGTTGGGTAAAAGACTGAGATCCTGGTTGATCTCTTGGATGGTGAACAGGAAAGACAACATGTACCAGAAGAACCTAGTTGACTCCCTGCAATAAATGAATCCTTTAAAAAGAGTGAAACTGATATTCATATTAATGGGAGGAAGGAAACATTATATGATCCACAAATAGTAGTATATATTATTTATTTATTTATTCATTCATTCATTCATCCACCCACCCACCTACCCACCCATCCTTTTGCATTAATATCAAACCTTTTCCTGTCTAGCATAGAACAAAAATTTGGAGACCACTGCTCCATGACAGGAGCTTTGATGCAAACAGCACACAGAGCTGTTCAACAGTGGAACAGACTCCCTCCGAAGGTGACCATGTGTCATGGATGCTTCAGGTGAGATTCCTCCGGGTCCCTTCCATCTCTACAACTCTATGATTCTATTATATAGTGGTTCTGTGAGTAAGAAATGAAGGCGCCCCTCAAAATGTGTGATATACTGGGAAGTTGCTGCAAAGGCTGCTTTTGCTGCAGTGGTCTTTGGTTTCTTCCAAGGGGCTAGACTATAGGTAGATAAGAGACAATTTTATTGAAGGAGGGGAAGCACCAAATACTTCAGTCCCCTTTTACTTAGAAATGAGGCCTGGTGGCTTTCAGTTTTAGTGTGTGGTAAAATTTATAATTTGTCCATATTTTGACTCCACCAATGAGGACACCCCCTGGTCTGTTCACATTTTAGAGATCTAAGTCCACTTACAAGGAACTCCCCTGACATATTATTTTATTTATCCTTTCAATTAAAGCACATCTTTCCTGCTCTTCAGCTACCAAAGGTCACCAAGAGGCTCTTAAAATTCCATTTGCAAAACTGTAGCATTCCTTAATGACAGATTTTTGAATTGTCCAAATGGAATAATATTGAATAAAACCTTTGAGCCTTGGAAATTGCCTGAGTTTCATGGCATCCTGCAGGTGGGGAAATTCAGTGCATCCTTTTGAACCCTGACCAGATTCACTGGCATCCTTGCATTCTACTAAAAGCAACACAGACGCATAGGAACAGGATTGTTTTACTTAGGAAGACAGAGGGAAGAAGGAAATAGGAGAGGCTTGTCCTGGACCCCCCAGCTCCCATCACCCCCAGCCAGCAAGACCAATGGTCAGGGCATGAGGACAGCTCTTGGCTTCCCAGCCCTGAGATAGGGGCTCTTTCCTTGATAAACAGGAACCATTACAAGGACTGGAGGACCGTGAAACCCATCCGCATATGATTTTACATACACTTCGTTCCTGGCGAAGGGTGTCTGAGTAAAGTTGTATGGAGTTGTCTCAATTAGGCGTATTGGAGATATGATCCCACTGATGAGAAAGTGTCCAGGCCGGTAGTAATTGCGAGCATCTGTTTCATCCCTGACCAGATTCAAGGGACATTTCGCCTTGTGGTTCCCGCAGACTCCAAAGGGCATCGTGAGCAGCAGAAGCAGGGATCTCATTCTGGCTGTGCCTCCTCCTCCTCTTACCTACCAAGGAGGCATAGCAGAAGAACCCAAAGACTCTTGCAAGGCCAGATTGCCTGGGCTTTGCCAGTCTGGGTGGTTTTCAACTCTACCTTCGGAGCTAGGAAGCACAAGGCAGGCACACCCCTCTTTCGCCAGCTCTGCATCTTCACTCAGTCTGTCTCCAACACAGGAAAAATTCTCTGCACCAACTTTTTCTTTCCCAGTCACAGTTCAGTTAATATTGCCATGCTGTTGTTGCTTTCCGAGGCTCATGCAATTTCCAGAAACATCTCCTGAACTTTTCGAAGATGAGATGACTATAATTTTGTTTATTCCAAGTGGAATAAGTTTCATCACAACAACTTTCTGGAGTCCTGAATGGCTCAGGCAGCAGGTGCAGAGCTGGAGAAAAACATGATGATGAAAAGTCAAAAGGTGTTTTGGGGAATTGGAAGTTTGGCCTGAACTTTGCTCCCAAGGACCAAAGAAGGAGCTGGATCTGACCATGCACTCTCCTTCCTTGGAGGTTTTTAAGCAGAGGTGGGATGGCTATCTGTTAGGGATGCTTTAGAGAGCCAGTGTGGTGTAGTGGTTAAGAGCGGTGGACTCATAATCTGGTGAACCGGGTTCACTTCCCGCTCCTCCACCTGCAGCTGGTGGGTGACCTTAGGATAGTCACCCTTCTCTGAAGTCTCTCAGCCTCACTCACCTCACAGAGTGTTTGTGGTGGGGAAGGAAGGAAAAGGAGATTGTTAGCCGCTTTGAGACTCCTTAGGGTAGTGATAAAGCGGGATATGAAATCCAAACTCTCCTTCTTCTTGTTGGCCACTTTGGGTGGATTTGATTCCTGCCGCTCCCTTCTGGTTCTCCCCCTGAAGGGAAGTAGCGTGTTGGTGGTTTTGAAGCAACTTCAAGTGAATTTCCACCCTGTTAAGTTGTGGGCGAACATGTCAGACGACACAGCGATTCTTTAAACAGCTCTTCTTTATTCAGATGCCAGAACAGAACTAGGCTGAGGAGCTCAGTCAGCCTGCTTATATAGAGCTCCAGAACAATGCAACTGCTGCCATTTTCTAAAACTATCCAATCACTGAACGTCACTTTTCGATCCTTCATTTGCATACAAAACTATCCAATCACTGAACGTCACTTTTCGATCCTTCATTTGCATACAAAACTATCCAATCACTGAACGTCACTTTTCGATCCTTCATTTGCATAACTATCTACAGTATCCCCCTGCTGGCCCAGGGTGAGAACTTCAGTACATAACACCCCCCCCCCTTTGAAAGGCTTCTCCAACAGAGGGAAGCTCTCTGGGGTTGGTGGAGGGGAGAAAGGTTGCTCTGAGCCTTAGGCTTTCCCCTTCCCCTTCGACATGTTCTGCGGAAGGAGAGCTTCTGTTTCACATGGCGCCAACTTGCTCCTCATTTTTGAGCAGAAGCTTCTCTACTCATAAACAAATTGTATGCGCAGAAGCCAGGCTAGCATTCTAGCAGCTTTGTTATTCTTTATCAAGTTATTTATTAATATGTATTTATTATTTATTTAATCTATTTCCTAAAATCCATGCACCACTTGATTAGGGAAATAACTGTTGCTAATCTCCCTTTGCTGAGCAAGGTTTTGGAGCATGTGGCCGCACACCAGATGGTGGTGGTGGTTCCAGTCCTACTTGGATGGTCATTCCTCGATGGTGTTACTTGGGGAATGCTTTTCAGCACTGGGAACCTTGAATGTGGGGTTCCGCAGGGCTCAATCCTATCCTCCACATTGTTTAACATCTACATGAAATCATTGGGTGCGGTTATCTGGAGGTTTGCAGTATGTTGTCAGAATTATGCTGATGACACTCAGCTCTATGTCTCCTTCACATCTGCAGGTGAGGCAGTGGAAGTGCTGGACCAGTGTCTTGTCTCGGCAATGGACTGGATGAGGGCCAACCAACTGAAGCTCAATCCAGATAAGACTGGGGCACTGTTAGTGGGTGCTTCCCTAGACCAGATGGGTGGGAGGTCGCCTGCTCTTGATGGGGTTACGCTTCCTCTGAAGGAGCAGGCTCATAGCTTGGGGGTACTCCTGGGCCCTTTGCTGTCGCTCGAGGCTCAGGACGCCTCAGTGGTGGGGCTTGCCTTCCCTCAGCTTCGGCTGGTGGCCCAGCTACGCCCCTATCTGGA